CGAAGGCCACGTTCATCTTCCGCAGGCGCCGCAGCTCCGCCTCCCGCGCTGCAGCGGGGGAGCCGGCTCGGAGCCTGCGCGTCCCTCCTCCCCGCAGCAGCCGGGCCTCCGCCCGAGCCGCGCCCCCCGCCAGGACTGCGGTCACTGCTCCCTCGGCCTCCCGCCCGCACCAGCTCCCAGGGCCGGGGAAGGCGCCTCGGCTTTCACAGGTAAATCCCCCGCCCCTGCCTCCCGCCTTGGCGTCCTCTTGGCCCCCCTCTCGTCCACCACCTGCCTCCAGAGTCCGCACCTGGACCCCAGTTAACGCTCACCTTTGTTTTGGTCCAAGAACTCTTCAGTGAAGATGGGAACATCGAAGGTGGAGAAGCCGTCGCAGTCCCCACCCTGGGACGAAGCGACAAGGTGGCAGTGTTTTGGGGGGGCAGCCACACCCCTTCTGCATGTCCCCGGAGCCTAGGAGGGTCTCCTGCTTGCACACATCCGGACGAGGCGCGAACGCTTCCTCCCTTGAGCGTTGGTTCTGGCTCACTCAGGGGTCTAGAAACTTCCAGACCTTTCTCCCCCAGATGCCTTTCTAGGACGAGGGCGCTTACCTTGTGTCCATTCAAGAGGGTATTCATGAGCCCGGAGCCTGAGTCCTCTGGTCGGCGGGAGAGAGAAGGACAGGGTCAGCCTCCCAGGCCCGCACTGACCCGCCGCTTAGCACGTGCCATTCCCCTGCCTGCTGCACCCTCCTTCCCCTCCCGCTTGGCCAGCGCTACTCATCCGGGGTCAGGCTCCCCACCTGCACCCCCAGTGTCCGTGTGTCCCCCCATCTCAGCACCGAGTGAATCCTGTTCACTCATAGCTGTCTGGTCATGTGTCTCTCGTCCCCCACAGGTCTGTGAGCCTCATGGAGGGGGTGGGATCAGCACCCCACAGAGCAGACCCCTGACTGCTGGGGGGCGCTGGGGCCCTGCCCACCTTTCTTAATCTTCTTTTCCTGGATCTTCTCCGTGCACATCTTGTAGGCTTCCGACTGCTGGTACGCCCGCAGCTCCTTCATGTACTGCTGCTTCTCCCTCTCGGCTTCGTCCAGGTACCGCTGGCGGGGGCAGCACCCGAAGGCTCGGCCCGGCCCGGCCCAGAGGCAGGACCTGGTCTGCATCGCTCAGCTGTCGCTGCGCCCTGCCCCTGCGCTGAGGCTTCCCCAAACCCCACTCCTCGGCCTGCTGCTCAGGGCACCTCCGAGCTCCAACTCCCGCCTTTACCAACTACTCCCTGATGCCTGAAGCACCTCCGGTCCCCACCTCTACTTCTTCAGACACCCTCTCACTGGCCATGACGTTCTAGATTGTCGCCTCCTGCTAAGCTTCCTCCTCCCCCGTAAAAGCTGGGGGGTAGTGTCATGGGTGTTCATTTCTTCGGGTGAACCCTCCACACCGTCCATTGGGGGATGTGGCTGCTGGGGGGTGTCCAGGTGGGTGGGGAGCCCTGCCGTCCCCACCTGCTTCTCCGCCGGTTGCAGCTTGCTCCATTCGGCGCCCAGCATCTTGGTGATCTCGGGAAAGGGCAGGTCCGGGTGGCGCGTGCGGATCTGCTCGCGCCGCTCGTTCAGGAAGCGCACATAGCCCGTGACCGGTGCCTTGGGCCCATTCGGCAGAATCTTCTTCCGCTTCTTGCCCTTGGGCCAACCTCGCTTCTTCACCGGCTGCAGAACCGGGCTGCGTCGTTGGGAGGGGCCTGGAGAGCTAGGGCGGGGCTCAGAGGGAAGGGGCGGGACCTGGGCGAGTGGGCGGGGCTGGGCGGTGGGCGGGACTTAGCCGGGAGGCAGGACCTGAAAGGACTGGAGGTACCGCCTGGTCAGGGGCTAGGACCCTGGGGAGCCAGGGGGGGGTGGTCCCTGTCCTGGGATGAGATCTGAGGTACTGGGGGCAGGGGTGGCGCCCGGGAAAGGGGGTAACTTGTCTTGTGGGCGTGGCCTCCGGGTGTGGGCGTTGCTTCTTCCAGGAAGAAGATCCCAGAGGATGGGAAAGTGCCGCCCTCAGGGAGGTGAGCACGAGGCAGTGGGCGGAGCCTCCAGCGTGGGCAGAGCTAGCATTGGACGGTGGGCGGGCCCTGAACTTTAAGTGGCAGTGGGCCTGTTGGGGGCGTGGCCTCTCGCACGGGGCGGGGTCTGTCTCGGGAGGCAGAGCTGGGCTAGGGGCGGGGCCACAGCAAATTCAAACCTAACCTGGGGCGGGGTTTCACGCCTGGCGTCTGGACCCCGAGGCCTCCCCCACCACAGTGCGGGAACTCTCACCTCCTCCTCGTGGGACCCCTTCTCGCCGGCCCGCGGACCGTCGCCGCGCTCCTGCTTGACAGCCACCACGAAGCCCCCATGCTGGCCCGGAGCCTTGCCGCCCGCCGGCCTGGAGCCACGGGAGACAAGGGTCACCCCGCCCCGAGAGTGTCCCCTAACCCACCACCCCCACTCCTAAGCTTTTAGAGACACCGACAAACCGGGCGGAGGACAGGCACGAGTCCGGGGAGGCGGGGTCTGAGGGGGTCAGAAACACTAGGGGACACAGGGGGGCCCCAGGGAGGAACCGCAGCCCCGGAGAGAGGTCGCGGAACGGGGTGCGGGAGAAACCTGGGGAGCCCTGGGCCAGGCGGGGGAGTCCAGACCCTGGGGGGTGGGTGTCCAGAGTCTCAGGAGGGGAGGGGCTGGGGCCGCAGCCC